GTGAAGAAGGATACGTAGTGGTCGACTTAAGAGAGGTAGTGCTCTGACTTAACTGAAGAGTGAACCCCAAACAGAACTAGATGGAAGATTAGGATTTCATTTAGTTGACCCCAGAAATATGGGATAAAGGTCGCGTTGTTGTATTGTATGGCAATAATATGCCAATAGAGTTCGGTATGATATTACAACACGGAGATGGAAATGAGGCAAATGTTCAGAAGAAGATGATACAAATCTTTTCAAACAAAGAAAACGGTTTTCCTTGTGTATGTGCATGAGTTATGATTTTTTTATATGCATTTTTATATGCATCACTTTTGTTGCCATGCAGGCACATAGACACCTGATACTCTATTGTCTTAAGTTTGATAGACCAATTAATTTTTTTGTATGTTTATTTTTGGGACACTTCTAAACGTTTCCTTTTGATAACTATTCTTTTACTGAGCTAAACGCTTCCTTGTCTCTTGTAATTCTGACAGGGTTAACCCAAAGTGGGTAGTGTACAATTCACTGGTATCTACAGACAAGCATTACATGCGTAATGTTATCTCCATCGACCCATCATGGCTTCTTGAAGCCGCACCTCATTTCTATCAGCAACGTACTCTGAACCCTGCTCTCTTTTGATAACAACGTCGTTGCAGCACCAGTTTTCTTTGTTAAGAATGGATCTGGCTTCGTTGAGACCCAGGACTTCGAATCTCCATGGCAGTGTTCTCGTGATTCATAGAAACACCTCTAAATTAAAGAGACGAGGCCTGGGATTATGCATGTAGTACGAAGTTTTGAAGAGGAGTAACATGAGGATTGTGGAAGAGATTACCTTAGTTTACTAAATGGAGTGGCTTAATTTGCCGATGTAATTACTTTTTTTCTCTGACAATATCACAGGACTTATATTGTGATTTACTTGAGAAATTCCTCTTTTTTCACTTTAATTGTTTTTCCCTGTTATTGCATGTCTTTTCTTGTGAGCTCATTGAAATATTTGAGAATTTGTAAGGAGTGATCGTCTTTTTCATGGACTCTTTTTTTTTTTCTCGATCCAAATATTATGAGATTAATATTTGAAAGAGGCGACACTTTATTTCTGCCAATAGAGAAGATACTACTATATTTGTGCCCCGGTCTTATGAAGTTACACAAGTGGCATGTTTTATTTGGATCCACATACCATCCAAAATCAAGAGTCAACAGAGAAGATTCTTTATTAGTGACGTAATTGGGATTTATAAAGTTGGACGAGAAACGATTTTTCCTACGACTGAGAGAGAGAGAGAGAGAGAGAGAGAGAGAGAGAGATGCTTACATGAGCAAGTTGACAATTGGCGCTTAATCGTATAATTTAGAAGTCGTCACTTAGCAAGAACACAACTTAACGAGTGAAAAAGAAGCTTCTCAATAATAATTTAGTTATCAACTTTAAATTCATAAATGAGTTATTCAAGGTCTTGCATGATATGGCTCCAGGGGCGGAGTTACATTGAGTCCAATGGGGTCCCAGGACCCCAGTAAAATCTAAATATGTACCAGATATTACATATAAAAAACATAATTGCAGCAATGGCCTAGTGGTTTAACACTCTAGGACCCCAGTAATCCACCAGAGTTCGAGTCTACTGAGCTGCATATTTTCACGATTTTTTTTCCCAATTTCTCTTATCATGTAGTACAGACTGTACAGTAAAAAAATTAAAACCCTTCCCCTTCCCCACCTTTTCAAACTAGAGAAAAATTAAAACCCTTCCCCTTCCCCACCTTTTCAATGTTCACGTAAAAAAAAAGTCCCTCCAACTCCCTTCTTCAACAGTTCTCCAATTTCAACATTAGCCTCGGACTCCCTTCCCAATTCCCTTCTTCATCCGCTAAATCAAACAAGGTATGAATTAACAATTGTTTTTTTTGTTTTTTAGACGATGGATGACTATGTATTTTAATTTATTTTATATTTCATGTGCGTTTTTAAATTATAGTTTGTCATTAAAATAATTTGTGCGTAAAATCTACATTATCAATAATTTTAGGACCCCATATGTTAAAAATCCTGGCTCCGCCACTGTATGGCTCTCAAGAACTCGTCCAACTTTGATAATTGAAGATTAAGCTACATAATTAGCAGCCCAATTGGTCACCAAACATGATAGTCTCCGGTCATTTTTTTCTTCTCTTGGAGGACACATAAAAGTGGTCACAACTGTAGCACGTGGCCAGTCTTATGCTCGCATTTCGATGGTTAATAAGATAGGTGGCCATGAAAGAAATGAAGTAATTGATGTCACATTAGGACATATCTATTCAATGCTATTCATCTTATGGGACGTTATGTTAGATGTTGGTAAAGTAAATTGTACTCATGTTTTTTTTAACAAAAATGGATTGCATCTCGATTATTATTTGACTACTTATGAGCACGAACATTTATATTGTGAAGTGACCTATTGAAGTTACTGCACACAATATTAACATTCCTTATCATAGTGCGTATCTTGTGCAAAGCACGCCCACTATTTTGTTAAGCATTGTATTTCGAACATGCTTTCCTCTAAGGTTTAATATATTTGATTTGATTATTATATGCTTAAAATTAGAAATTATATCTACTGCTATATATTTAAAAGGATGTTTTTCATAATACGGTAAATTACTGTAGCAAATAGTAAATTTATTCTAAAAAATTACTATTTTTGCTATAGTAATTTACTGTAGTATAAACAATAAATCTTTGGATCATCTTTTTAAGTATAGAGGAGTAGATTACACAATGCTACTTGTTTGCCTATTCTTCTTCTTAATATAGGAGGAAACTGACGGACTCAACATTCATGATTAGTAAAAAGAGGAAAGATTCATTTACATGGAGCATTTAAGAGACATTTTTTTATTTTTTTATTTTTTTTATTTTTTTTAAATATGATCTATATATAAGAAACTAATAGAAAAATATTACACATGTGATGATGACAAGCGGGCAACAAGTTGCGCCGCTAATCCTTTCTGAATTGCAAAATCTAACCTACGAAACACATATTCAGCGGACCCTGCTGTCGCTACATTCTTATTCGCGAATTTCTGAACCCTCCTGAGGAACTCCACCGCATCAGCTGCAAGGAAACCAAACGTGTCGAAAGCGAACGGGATGAAGCTGTGGTGGTTGTCCTCGCAAGCTTGATCATGTTTGCCCACCTTGGCCTCTGCCGCTCTATCCGCTGCATGCCCAACCTTGAACTCTCCATTACCAAACCCCACCAACGGAGACACCCCTGTAAGATCAACACAAGCATGCTTCCCCCCGCTCCAACTGTAGACAAGAACGTCTGCCGGCCTTAGAGTAGATCTAGTCTCTCCAGGAGGAGTGAGGAAGTTGACCGGCGCTTCCTTCTATGATGGGATCCCTGCTCTCTGGAGGATATCATACCAGACATCTCTGACTAAATCGTGCCTGTACTTGAACCCCGGCTGCTTCTGACAATGGATGGCATGCTCTCCAAAAGCATCCATCTGCGTCCTACGACAAACTGGACACACTGTCCTCTCCACGAATAAAGGAACCAACAACCTGTACCTAAGGATGACCTGGTATTCCCCCGGAGTCATACGCTGCCCCAAACCCTCAATAGGCGTGACCAACAAGTTATTTAGGCCGGTGAAGTTTCTTTTTAATATGTACCTCCTAAATATAAAAGTTTATATGCCATCAAAAAAATAAAATACAAATAAATGGTTATATACAATCTTCAAATCATACGAGACCGTAAAATTATCTTCATGATAATTCTTATTTACTCCCTAAGTTATTGTCATCCCTCAATTTAACCTCAGCCCTACCTTTTAAAAAAAAAAAAAAAAACTATTGTTAGTTAAGTTAAAAATTTTCAGTTACAACAATAACTATAACAGCAGCAACAATGAAGCATTCATCAATTTTTTTTATTGGGTCTGCTAAAATAAATCATGTTCCTCCATTTTGTTCTATTTTAGATCATCTCCTCCATCGAGGTAACTATTTTTCATATTTTTTTTAAATTGATTCTAGTCAAGTTCTTTCAGATCTATCTCTAAATCATTTTTCCTTATAGATTATATTCTTTTCACTTTTCCCAACTAGCACATTACAAAGTCCTAAGCCATCTTAACTATTCAATTTTAAGTTGCTTTTCACTTAAAAATAATTAATTCTTAATATTTTAAAAATACATCTACCATGATTGTGAGAAGTATCAAAATATTGTATTTCTATCAACCAAGCTTATCATCTTTTCATGGACCGCGTACATTCGTATACGGGCCCACATATCCTAAACTGTTCTCTCTCTCTGTCAAAAAGTAATAAAAGATCCAAGTCGACAAGAAGCGCGGCCCACTCATCCCGCCATCTCCCCAGCCAACGAACTCCCCATCGCACTTTAATATAAATGTTTCATTATTGGATACATTTCACGAAACCCCCCAACTATTGGATTATATGTACAAATCTCCTCTGGACTTGAAAATTACGAAAAAACCTAAAACTTAAATCTCTTCTTCGAAAAACTCCTCTCTTGATAAAGCCAAGAAAAACTCATTCACCTACTACAACCCACCCAATTGCTTAGATGGGGAAATTTTTACTAATTGATCAGGGTTTGAATCCCCTTGTAAATTATCATGGATTATGTGATAAAGATTAAAGCGAGACTCATATCTTCAATGAGTTAAATTGATCCGTGCATGTAGATCTACTTATAGAGTCGAAGTAGAGACAGATCTAACATGATCAAACCACCCCTGCTAAAGTGTTTTCTATTTTTAAATAAATCCTAGAGGGGTAGAACGGAATCTACCAAAAATTTAGAAGATTTTGCTCCAAAGTGTAGGTTTTTTCCTTCTAATTATTAAAGATAAAGGAAATTTTTATCCAAATCTCCCAAAAGTTTAGGGTGTTTCTGTCAAATTTCACCCTTAATCATTCATTAATCCCTTTAAATATCGACCCTTCAATCTCTTCACTCCCCCTCAAACGGCGCCAAAAATGGCAAACCTTTTCCTTTTCCTCTCCCTCTCTCTCCTCCTCCTCTGCCCTCCCATCGCCGCCGTCCGCCCCATCTTCTCCTCAGATCCACTCCTCTCCGATGGAGTTTCCGCCGGCGGCGGAGAATCGCCGGGGTTCTTATCTCTGCCCTCAGCTGCGGAGGAGGAGGGGAGCTGCGAGCAGACGTACGGATTCTTGCCGTGCACGGCGACGGCAGGAGGGAACATGTTCCTGGTGATTGCTTATGGGTTCTTGATGTTCAAGGCGGCCACTTATTTGTCGGCGGGGAGCGAGTTGTTGCTTGAGATCTTGGGGCCTGGAATCGTGGGAGGACTGTTCCTGCCTATTCTTGGCGCTCTTCCTGATGCCATGCTCATCTTAGGTAAAATGACAACGAAGCATTTGCCATTTTGAATTTACAGATTTTGAGAGTTTAAAAAAGGAGGAAAATAGAGAAAAACTTAGTTATTATTGGACAAAATCTGTTTACTCTATACTAATGAAGTAGCTGTTTTGGTTGCAAAGCTATCATCATTTGGCACATAAATTTGCCACGTGACTTTTCATCTTCTTTATTATTAATTTTTTTTCCTTTTCCTTTTCTTTGTGCATTCTGTCTTCTTTGTGTTTTCTCCATCTAAAATCAACATGTAACCTTTTAGGGCCTGTTCGGTGGGGTTGTTTTTGCTTGAGAGTTGGTGTAGCTTTTAGGCCACAGTAACTTTCATGCGTTTACACTGTTTTATTGTGCAAATAGAGTACTGAAGTGACAATAAAAAAATCCCACTTAGCAGCCTCTGACCAATTGTTAATTTGGGGTGGATACCAACCTCCGACGGCGGAGGAGCTCCGACGAGCTCCAGAATGACGCAGGCGAGCTCGAGCCCTGCGTGTGAGCACCTCCCCCGAGCTCTGCGTTCGAATCTCCCCCTCTTAGCTTTGCGTTCGAACCCCTTTTTATCTCGGCGTTTTCTTCGACCTCTGCGTTCGCCTGACTTTGGCGTCCGCGGGCCGCTGGCGACAGGCTGTCGCCAGCCCATCCACATCGCCTATAAAACCCCCATCGCCTAGGGTTTCGCTGTGTGCTGTGCTTCTCCCCTTTCCTCCGATTTTTCTCTCTGGCGGCGGCGGCGATCTGTCCTAAAATCGCAGCAGCGATTTTCCCCTTTTAATCTCAGCTTTCAACAGTGCTTGAAAGGAAATTTAAGAAGAGAGAGAGAGGGGATTTAAGATTAAAGAGAGAGAGAGAGATCATTAAAGAAGGGGTGTTTTATATTGTGGGGTTATTCATTTATTCTCAAGTGAGAATTGAAAGTGGTTCATACCCTTTAATTATTAACATTGTAGCTACAGTGTTTATTTGAGAAATCTCAGTTTTGGGATTTGCTCTTGAATTGTAATTTCTTGTTTGATTAATAAGAAATTATCTGTGTGGCTCCCGAGGACGTAGGCAGTTGCCGAACCTCGTTAAAACTTGGTGTACTTTTTCTATACTGCGTTTCTGTTGCATTAGGGGTTTAGACGTTAAATTCCCAACAACTGGTATCAGAGCTTGAAATGATCTAGAGGAAGTCAGATTCAAGTGGGAGCCATGGCCGCAGATGAAGGGAAAATAAGACTTGAGAAGTTTTACAACCCAATTGAGTTCAGTTGAGATTGAGTTTGATGATAAAGTTCGGGCGTTGATACTTTTGTCTTTCCTACCAGAGAGTTGGAACACTACAGTCATAGCTGTGAGTAGCTCGTCGGGAAAGAAAAATTTGAAGTTCGGCGACGTTCGTGATTTGGTTCTCAGCGAGGAGATCCGACGGAGAGAGACTGGTGAAGCTACAACCTCTTCAGTATTGCATATAGAGTCAAGAGGTAGAAATTCAACCAGGAACGGACGAGGAAAATCAAACTTCAGAGGTAGATCAAAGGACAGGAGGTCCAAATCAAGGAATCCAAGCAACAGCTCGAAGGCTATCGAGTGTTGGAATTGTGGAAAGACCGGGCATTACAAGAATCAGTGCAAGAGTGCACAGAAAAAGAAGGAGGCGAAGGCAGAGGTGAATGTCACCTCCACTTCAGGAGGAGACGACGCATTGATATGCTCTTTGGAGAGCAAGGAGGAATCTTGGGTATTAGATTCAGGAGCGTCGTTCCATGCTACCTCTCAGAAAGAATTCTTCGAGAAGTATACCCCCGGAAATCTTGGATACGTGTATCTTGGTGATGATCACCATGTGCTATTGTGGGCAAAGGCATGGTAAAAATTAAGTTGAACGGGTCTGTATGGGAGCTGAAGGATGTCAGGCATATTCCCGACCTGAGAAAGAATTTAATATTCGTAGGCCAGTTAGCTAGCGAAGGATATACCACGACCTTCCATAGAGATGATTGGAAGATCTCAAAGGGCGCAATGACGATTGCCCGAGGCAGGAAGACTGGTACCCTATATATGACAGCAGGTGCACGTTGTTTGATCTCAGTTGCAGCAGGCAATGAAACTTCAAAGCTGTGGCACCAGAGACTCGGTCATATGAGTGAGAAGGGGATGAAAATCATGCATACAAAGGGAAAACTCCCAGGACTGCAGTCAGTGGAGATGGATATGTGTGAAGAATGTATACTTGGAAAGCATAAGAGAGTCGGCTTTCAGACAAGTGGCAGAACCCCCAGGAAGCAGAAGCTAGAGCTCGTTCACTCAGATGTGTGGGGACCAACAACCACCGCGTCCATTGGTGGAAAACGCTACTTCGTGACTTTTATCGATGATCACTCTCGGAAAGTGTGGGTCTACTTTCTGAAGCATAAGTTAGAAGTATTTGAGGCTTTCAGGAGATGGAAAGCTATGGTCGAAAATGAGACCGGTCTGAGAATAAAGAAGTTCAGGAGATGGAAAGCTATGGTCGAAAATGAGACCGGTCTGAGAATAAAGAAGCTCAGGACCGACAATAGCGGTGAGTATGAAGACACCGGATTCAAGAAGTTCTGCTATGAGCACGGGATCAGAATGGAGAGAACCGTGCCTGGCACGCCTCAGAAAAATGGTGTAGCTGAGCGGATGAACCAAACGTTGACAGAGAGAGCCAGAAGCATTCGTGTACAGTCAGGCCTACCGAAGCAGTTCTGGGCAGAAGCGGTCAACACAGCAGCTTACTTGATCAACCGAGGTCCATCGGTTCCATTGGAGCACAGAATACCAGAGGAGGTATGGTACGAAAAGGAGGTAAAACTCTCACATCTTAAAGTTTTCGGTTGTGTAGCTTACGTGCATATTAGTGATCAAGGCAGGAATAAGCTTGATCCCAAGTCAAAGAAATGCACTTTCATCGGCTATGGTGAAGATGAGTTCGGCTACCGCATTTGGGACAATGAAAACAAGAAAGTGATCCGCAGTAGAGATGTGATATTCAAAGAGAAGGTGATGTACAAGGACATGCACAAGACAGATGACTCAGAGAGCGAGTCAATATTTGTAGATGCAGATGATGTCCCGAGTAACCTCTCGGAAGAACCCAATACAGAAGATCCTCAGCCAGAAGAGCCTATGGGACAAGATGGTGCGCAGGAGCCCGACGCACCAGCTCCGATTTTAAGAAGATCTTCTCGTCCTCCTGTACCCAACAGGAGATACATGAACTATCTGTTGTTAACAGATGGTGGAGAGCCTGAAAGCTTTGATGAAGCTTGTCAGTGTGGAGATACGAGCAAGTGGGAGCTTGTAATGAAAGATGAGATGAAGTCTCTCATATCAAACCAGACGTGGGAACTAGCTGAGTTGCCCACGGGTAAGAAGGCACTCCACAACAAATGGGTGTACCGGGTAAAAGAGGAGCAAGATGGTTCCAGAAGATATAAGGCCCGGCTAGTTGTCAAAGGTTTCCAGCAGAAGAAAGGAATTGACTACACCGATATTTTCGCTCCCGTGGTGAAGCTAAATACTATCAGGACCGTGATGAGTATTGTAGCAATTGAAGATCTTCATCTCGAGCAGTTAGACGTGAAGACGGTGTTTCTTCACGGAGATCTAGAAGAGGAGATATACATGCACCAGCCAGAAGGTTTCTCAGAAGAAAAGAAGAAGAACCTGGTATGCAGACTCAAGAAGAGCTTGTATGACCTGAAACAAGCCCCAAGACAGTGGTACAGAAAGTTTGATGGCTTTATGCTCAAGGAAGGTTTCCAGAAGTGCAACGCAGACCACTGTTGCTACTTCAAAAGATATCAGTCCAGCTATATCATCCTACTGCTGTATGTTGATGATATGTTGGTTGCAGGAACGGATATGAAGGATATCAAGAATTTGAAGCAGCAGCTGTCAAAGGAGTTTGACATGAAGGACTTGGGTCCAGCAAAGAAGATCCTTGGAATGCAAATCACGAGAGATAAGAAGAGAGGTCTCTTGCAGTTATCTCAGACGGAGTACATCAACCGTGTTTTGCAAAGATTCAACATGAGCAACGTCAAGCCTGTGAGCACACCCTTGGCCAGTTATTTTCGTCTATCGAAGGATCAGTCTCCTCAGACAGAAGAAGAGAAAGAGAGTATGGCTCAGGTTCCTTACGCCTCAGCTATCGGAAGTTTGATGTACGCTATGGTCTGTACAAGACCAGACATTGGCCATGCAGTGGGAGTGGTCAGCCGGTTTATGTCGAATCCAGGAAAAGCTCATTGGGAAGCGGTCAAGTGGATTCTGAGATATCTACGAGGCACCACACAGAAGTGTTTGCACTTTGGTAAGGGAGAGGTAGAAGTGCAAGGGTACGTAGATGCAGACTTCGGTGACGAAGTTGATCACCGAAGAAACACCACCGGCTATGTATTCACCGTTAGAACTACAGCTGTTAGTTGGATGTCACAGGTACAGAAGATTGTTACCCTATCCACTACAGAAGCTGAGTATGTTGCAGTGACTGAAGCCAGTAAAGAGATGATATGGCTTCAGGGCTTATTGACAGAGCTGGGATTCAAACAGGAGAAGAATGTTTTGCACAGTGATAGCCAGAGTGCGATACACTTGGCGAAGAATTCAGCATTTCATTCTAGAACGAAACATATTGCGCTTCGGTACCACTTCATCAGATCCCTGTTGGAAGATGACGTGTTGAAACTGGAAAAGATTCCAGGAAGTAAGAATCCAGCAGACATGTTAACAAAGACGGTGACAGTTCAGAAACTGGAGTTGTGCGCAACTTCAGTTGGCCTTCATGCATAGATGATGAGGGCGGAGCCACACATGAGAGGAGCTTGGTGAGATAGCCCGTTGGCGTCGGTTTGGTCTCCAAGTGGGAGATTGTTAATTTGGGGTGGATACCAACCTCCGACGGCGGAGGAGCTCCGACGAGCTCCAGAATGACGCAGGCGAGCTCGAGCCCCGCGTGCGAGCGCCTCCCCCGAGCTCTGCGTTCGAATCTCCCCCTCTTAGCTTTGCGTTCGAACCCCTTTTTACCTCGGCGTTTTCTTCGACCTCTGCGTTCGCTCGACTTTGGCGTCCGCGGTCCGCTGGCGACAGGCTGTCGCCAGCCCATCCACATCGCCTATAAAACCCCCATCGCCTAGGGTTTCGCTGTGTGCTGTGCTTCTCCCATTTCCTCCGATTTTTCTCTCTGGCGGCGGCGACGATCTGCCCTAAAATCGCAGCAGCGATTTTCCCCTTTTAATCTCAGCTTTCAACAGTGCTTGAAAGGAAATTTAAGAAGAGAGAGAGAGAGGGGATTTAAGATTAGAGAGAGAGAGAGATCATTAAAGAAGGGGTGTTTTATATTGTGGGGTTATTCATTTATTCTCAAGTGAGAATTGAAAGGGGTTCATACCCTTTAATTATTAACATTGTAGCTACAGTGTTTATTTGAGAAATCTCAGTTTTGGGATTTAGCTACAGTGTTTATTTGAGAAATCTCAGTTTTGGGATTTGCTCTTGAATTGTAATTTCTTGTTTGATTAATAAGAAATTATCTGTGTGGCTCCCGAGGACGTAGGCAGTTGCCGAACCTCGTTAAAACTTGGTGTATTTTTTCTATACTGCGTTTCTGTTGCATTAGGGGTTTAGGCGTTAAATTCCCAACACCAATTCCCCCAAAAAAGAAAAGTTTTGGGCGGAGGTTGTTGTAGCTGTTAGGTCCAGTTTTCCCACTGGTTTCCTAGCTACAGTATCTTTCACGTGAATTAAAAAAAAAAACCCAGACATTCCCTTAGCCACTCTCAAATAATTTTAATTATTCATGTAAAATTACTTTGGTTTTTTCATAGAAACCACCTTTAGAATAGTTTCATTTTATGGAAACGACATTTAGTTTTCAATTTATATGGTTTTTTGTTGACCCAACTTTATGTTATTTTTTTTGGAAATTGATCCCATCTAGTCTCTGATGAGGATCATTTCTCTAATATACTTGATAGTTAATTATTACAGCAAAATCGAAAAAACTTGGCTTAAAGTGAATCCAGGTTGTCGATTGCAACAATAAACTGTTTAAAAATGGTATATTTATAATTTAACAATCAAAGATGGTTTCTATAGAATGATCATATTTTAAGGTGACTTCTAAGGGGGAAAAAATCCAATTACTTTTATGAGTAAAACAATATTGTAATACTCAGTCACGTGCATCGTTCGGGTAAAAACAAGTGAAAACTGAAGTAGGTTTCTGACCATTTACCCAAAAGGTTTTGATCTTTGCTCTGTAGTTATCTAGGATAAAAAATGTACGGGCAAAATTTGCATCTAGAAGTTAGAAATCACTATTGAAATTGCAGCACATGTCTAAATGTTGATCTTACAGTATATTGACGAAGACTTGTTGTTAATATAGTCATTCATACATTAAGGCCGTGACTAATTTTAGTACAAATTATTGCCATCTGCAGTATCTGGTCTTTCTGGAACCAAAGAAGAAGCTCAAAAGCAGGTCTTGATTGGAATTGGCTTGCTTGCTGGTTCAACTGTCATGCTTTTGACATTACTATGGGGTACTTGTGTTGTTGTTTCAAAGTGTGATCTTTCTGAGAATTCGACTTCAGTAGATTCACAAGACACAAAAGGGTTTAGTCTTTTTGGTATGTATTCAATCTACACTCGATCTTTACACAGAAGTGCTTAGTACTGCTATATAAAGAAGTATCGTTTTATCAACTTCTTTTTTTTTTCTGTCAATAATTTATAATATATACAAGCTTTACATAATTATGGTTGTTCTGCTACATTATCATTACTGCTGTATTTTGAGAAAGTGTAGTTGCTGTTTTATTACTTGGTGGGTGGTGTCTCCAACAATGTATCATTTTCTGCCATATCTTTGCAGGATCTGGTACCACTACAGATTTGCAAACTACTTATGCTGCTAGAATCATGGCTATATCCATTGTTCCCTTCATCATTGTGCAACTTCCCAGAGTTTTCAAGTTTCCATCAGGACAACGTTTAATGGTCTTGGTCGCGCTCATTGTTTCAGTTGCACTTGTACTTTCTTACTGTTTGTACCAGGTATTTCACTTGCCCCAAAAGTACTTTGTATATATTTTAACGACACATTTTCATTTGCTATCAATTTGCAATTTAAGACTTGGTTGTGCTTGTAAATGTATTTTAATTGCACAGCGCATGCTTGCATGCTTAGCTGTAAGTTTCTCAACTGGAGTGACTGCTTGAAATTCTTTTGTTTACTGAGTGTACCTGGCCCAAATAGAATTGGTTAACAGGGGTAATGTATTAGGTGCAGTCTCCATTTTTCTGTATGCTTTTATCATTTGCATATCAAACCTTTTTCAATATGATTGAGATCACGAATTTTAGTTAATCTCATAGCTTGTGCTGCACTCAGTCACTTGCAAAGTTTTCTTTCGGTAGAATGCTTGTTTACTTGTAAAACAGTCATGTCTCAAAATTAAAGCGTATGATGCTTGCATAGGAAGCTTGTCTTCTTTTGCAAATAATATTATTATTGGAAGGGCATATGTTAAAAAGCAGTTAAGGGTACTTGCATCATTTTTGCCTATTTGTTAAGCAGAATTAGGGAATTTGTACTGCACAGATATATAATGTCATCAAGACTGCAAACTATTTCAGTTGATTAAGTATCTACCGTTAGGTTGGAGGGATAATTGAACACACACCCCTTGTAGTATTGTCGATTTGGACTTACTACCTCTCTAGTTTCATTCTGGAAAATAGACCCACCAAGATCTTACTTCATTTGTTGGCTGTTAGTTTTTGGATGCACGTCGGTCCACATGCTTCTAAATAAATGCAATGCCTTTTCTTAATATAAAAAAACCATCTTGGCATATAGACCTCCTGAATGATATTGTGGTCTGCAAAACAAGCATGTCTCGAAAGGTTTCTGCAGCTCTGATGATGTTTTTAGTATTTCTTTGTCACATGCATCTGTATCTTAGTTTTTTCAATTCGAAATACCTGNCTATAGTTGAATTACATTATTCTCTAAGGCACACATTAGTCCCATAGCCAAGCAGAAAACATTCCATACAGAATGACAGCATCCTATTATTATTTTTTAACAGGTTTGTCAGCCATGGATTCAGAAGAGAAGAATAGCATACGCAAAGCATAAGCATGTGATTTCCGGCATTTTGCAACATGCCGAAATGGAAGGTCTTGGTCGTCTTCTAACCAGCGATGGAGAACCTAATATACCAGCCATTAAAAAGTATGTTTCCCTTGCGTACAATTTTTCTTTCTAAATATCAAACCTACACTAACCTATAATTATTTATTGCAGGTTGTTTCACAAAATTGATTTGGATTCAAACAATGTACTTTCAAATGCTGAACTAAGAGCGTTTATCATAGGAATCCAGTTTGATGAAATAGACCTGGATAAAGATGATGCTGTAGCGAAAGTGATGCATGATTTTGATACATCGAGAAATGTAGATGTTGATGAAACAGAGTTCATCAATGGAATCACGAGATGGATTAATGAAGCCAAACACACTGTTGACACTGCTGGTGTTCACTCAAAAAATTTCATCCATGATTTTCATTCGGTAAGTTGTTCGTGGTTTTGTCATATCCTATTAAAGTTCATAATAACATTTGTCATTACTTCAATATATGCAGAGAACAAAAGATGAACATAACATGTTGATTGATAAGAGTGATGAGGTTGTCGAGAGCGTTCAAAATCCAACTTGGATATGCATAAAAGCCCTCTTACTGTTGTTACTCGGAACCGTGATGGCAGCTGCATTTGCAGATCCTCTTGTAGATGCTGTAGATAATTTTTCAATTGCTACTAGTATACCTTCATTCTTCATCTCTTTCATTGCGATGCCTTTAGCTACTAACTCCAGTGAGGCTGTCTCAGCTATTATTTTCGCCAGTCGAAAGAAGCAAAGGACGTCTTCACTAACATTTTCTGAGGTTTTCTTCTCTACCTCTTAATTAGAACTACTGTTTTCAGAAGCATAGTATTCCTATTTCCACAAGGTTATGGATATTTTAAGCAAAAGTTACCTTAATCCATATATACTTTCTACTGTTGACACCCATTTTATATCCACATTTATGGTATACTTGATTCTTCATCTCTAATGGTTATGTCCTTTATTAGTTATATGTCATATAAGAGTAGCTGAATTTAAGATAGCATTGTTGCGGGAGCAAAGATGGTGCAACTTTAAACACAAGAACCTTAATTTTCAGCAAGTATCTAATTTGACATTTGTAAATTGTTCATTAGCAGATGGATTTGTATGGGAAGCACTTCGGTATACAATAAGCGCATGAAAGTGGTAAATTGACAAGAGACGCGAACTGTGACCAAGCTTTTTCGGATACCTTCAAGCAAATAATCCAAGAGATTGTGTTAGTAATTCTTATTCATAGGGGAATTGCAGCACACCCATTTTTCACTGTCAACCGAGATACACAAGACCATCCTACACTATTGCTCCTAGAAAACAGCCCTCATGAACAATGTTTTTTTAGCCATAACTGGAATTCCAGAATGCACATATAAGGCAACACGAATCGTTATCATGATCTTCATCCTAGAGTACTCAGCCTTGTTTAAGAATGCCATTAGAATTTATTGCAGGTAAACACCTTGCGTATATGTCAGAACCATTTTCCTGACTTTTGGTTATCGCTGCAGATATACGGTGGTGTAACTATGAATAATACACTTTGCCTGGCGGTATTCTTGGCTCTTGTTTATGCAAGGGGATTGACTTGGGAATTCTCTTCTGAATCGCTCGTTATTCTTCTTGTTTGCATCGCGATGGGCCTCTTTACAAGCTTCAGAACGACATTCCCACTGTGGACTTGCATGGTTCCTTACTTGTTCTATCCGTTGTCTCTGGCAATTGTTTATGTGCTAGACTTTGTTTTTGGATGGTCATAGACTGTCCTAATAAAGTAATTAAGAAAATTCATGTAGAGGGTCCTCAATGGCAAATCATATAGGAACGTAGAATGTGTTCTAGCACATTTTAAAGTTGATAATTGCACGGATATATTATTCTGATTCAATCATATAGGACTAATAACGTTTATTAGTGCCACTGATTTAAAATATGTAAGGGGACACATGTCATATTCTCCTTCTCTCTATGATTTTCTAAAGAGGGCCCTCCAGAATTATTTCTATTAACTTTTGTATACTCTAATCAGTCTGATGAGATTCTTTCTAAATCTTACTTTGATGGACGTTAATGGTATTCTCTGGTTAAATGAGTTGTTTTGGGTATATACATATTTTTTCCTATGTCGTCCGTGAATGCTGATAAGATGCTACGAAAACAATTTTATGTGGCTAAGCTTCCTAAGTCTTCACTGAACAACTTCTGGAGGAAAATAGCTGAATCTCGGAAGTTACTATTTGCTTGTGCACGTACAAGTTCTTTGTGCTGGGACTTGCCGAGCAATGTTACAGTAACATCAGCAAATACTATCAGGAAGTTGTACACATATCTAGTATCATGAAGGTGTGTAACATGTTTATTGTTCAATATTCAGTGAGGTAGCTTGTATCCAAAAAACCTTGAGCGTGTTGGGCAAAACATTCACAGTGTTAAACTATCCACTGCAATTCTTGCTACATTTTTGCTTCCCCATTGAGACAGTCTTTAGCAAAACCTGGCTCCTTGTGCGGGTATCACTGTTCTCAACACTTTAGCTTCAAGTAAGTTGAAATTGATAAATGGTTCACAACCCGTACAAATTATGACGAATCAATGTTTGGAGAACTGTTATTTGTCTCGGTTCACTGGATAATTGGTGTACCAAAGAAGAAACATGTATTATTGTAACTAATTCTCAAATTCATTTGTTTTACTGATTCAACCATAGACAGTTCTTGGTGCACCAGCTAAGCGGACCGCTGTAGACTAGTTTCTTGTCAATAGCCACCGCACTCAGTTTGTGTATACTTGGAATTGTGGAAATGTCATCCCCACATCACCCTTAACTTCCAACCTACTACGTTCGCACTTCATGGACTTTCTAAAGCTCACATCACCTTTACAACCCCACCCCCCCCCCCCGCCCCCCCCCAAACAATTATACAAACACATTACAGCCACTGTCAAAACTCAAAAACACAATGAACCAAGATCTCAACATCTCAACCACCCTCTTCATCTCTCCCTCCCCTTCACCTCCATCACCCCTCCTTCTCCCCCTCTCCCATATTGACAATGACCGCAATCTCCGCCTCACCTTTCGCACTCTTCGAATCTACTCACCTCCACTTTCCGACTCTGACGCGTTTAAAACCTTCACCGGAGCTCTCTCCAAAGCGCTCTCTCTTTACTACCCTCTCGCTGGAACTCTCGTCAATGACTCTGGCCGCCTTGCAGTCCGTTGCTCCATAGATGATACTGTCCCCTTAACCTATGCCACATCTCCACTCCGGCTTGGCTCATTTCAAACTGAACCCGCTTCAGACTTTTTGAACCGGTTGGCGCCAGATTTGGATTTGGGTCGGGAGCTGTCGTACCCACTCGCTCTTCAGCTCACCTGCTTCACCTGTGGAGGGCTCGCATTGGGTATGTGTGTGCATCATGCACTATGCGACGGAGCAGGGGCCACCAAGTTCTTGAGCGCCGTCGCACAGTTCGCGCGTGGGGAGGATCAGGTTGGTTTTGTGCCTGAGCCCGTTTGGGATCGAGTCTCGCTGCTTGGACCGAGATCCCCGGCCTGCGTGGAGGTGGATTTTGGTGAGTTCTTGAGTTTTGATGAGGGAAATAGGGTTTATGTTGGTAATGAGGAGGGGGTTGTGTTGAGGGAGTGTTTTCATGTAAATGAGGTATGCTTGAACCGGTTCAGGAACTGCCTCAGGGAAGAGTGCGGTTCGAGCTTTACGGCGTTTGAAGCTCTAGGGGCGTTCATATGGCGAGCCAGGTTTGTTCAATTCCTCTTCTGTTATATAGTAAAAAAGATAAAGAAACTGATTCAATGATCAAAATGATATAGATTTAACTTTAAAATGAGGGTTAACAGAGGATGGATCATGTGTAGCCCTGTACTATCATCAAATTTAATTTAGTGTTCCTGTAGTTATATCGTTGCAGATAGAACACCTAAAGAGATCTATTGTTGTGATAGACTGCCTGAAAATATTCTTTTATCGCAAATAGACTCCAGAAAGAGAGAGAGAGAGAGAGAGTCTATTGTTGCAGATAGACCCCTGAAAAGGACAAAAATTTTTCACTATGTCTATCTGCAATAATAGAACTACATGAGCAGCATGTTCAATTTGATGATAGTACACGGTGTCAATCCACAATTATTTAAAACAAAGTTTCTTACCGTGTAAAATTGAAAAATATCAGACCAATTTCAAGGTCAAGGTTTGGCAATGCACATAATAATATATGTTGCCATCGTAAGATTAGTAGATGCGATATATTAGCATATATAAAACAAATAATCCTCTTAAGAGACTTTGAATGTATGCGCACGAACAGCTTCCAGATAAAGAAAAACAAGTATAAATTGTTAGAGAGAGAAAAGAGGAATCAAGAAAGTGAGGAATTTTTTTCCATAAATTTTCATCATATTGAAATAGTTTCCCCCTTCTATAAAGATAAATAGTCAATTTCAGAGTATTATGGTCATCGTAATACCCTTTTCACAGTTCATAAAAGAAACACGAAAGATCACCGACGTGGCTGCAATTGTTCACAGAACTACAATACTTAATTGGTTGAATAAAAATCTTGCTTCTCATGAAATTTCCATCTTTTCTTTAATGCACATTTCCCCCACACACAGGGTTAAAGCCGCAGGCATGGCGAACGAGGAGATAGTAAAGTTCGCTTACTCGATGAACATATCCAAAATACTAAAGCCTGCGCTCCCTAATGGGTACTGGGGCAACATTTGCGTACCCGTTTACGTGAAGCTAACTGTCAAACAACTCCTGCAACAACCAATTTGGGAAACAGCTGAAATGATCAAGGAGAGCAAAACCAGCGTAACCGATGAGTATGTGAGATCGTACATCGACTTTCAAGAGCTTCACCATGCAAAGGGGATAACCGCGGGAAAGTTCGTAAGTGGGTTTACGGACTGGAGGCATTTGGGACACGCGGAAGTGGATTTCGGATGGGGAAGTCCGGTAAGTGTGCTTCCGCTTTCTTGGAGGATTCTTGGGAGTGCAGAGCCGACGTTTTTCTTGCCTTACGGTAGAGAGGATGGAGGGAAGAAAGAGGGTTTCAAAGTGTTGGTTTGCTTGCAAGAGAATGCTAAGAAGGCTTTTAGCTCAGAGATGGAGGTGTTTAAAACCGAAGAGAATAAAAATGTAACGAGCTGTCAAGTTGACGCACACAACTTGAGCAAAGTTTGAGAACTGGCGTGCATATGGAGTATGCTGATGCGGCACATGTGTGCTTTCATCTGTGAATAATATTTGCTCCAGCTGTCATCACTTACTGGATTATTGACAATGTCGAAAGAATATGCGACTTCAGTTAGTACTACATGATATCAGTATCCTCTGTGAATAACAATATGTAGGTGGAGTTTTCCTTTGTTAAAACTGCTTGGTTGAGTGGAAACAGAGCTACAGAAGTGAATAGTACAGTTAGATTTTGCGTTTGGTAACCAAAGTGTTTTTTTTTTGTTGTGTTTTTTTAAAAACACCATTTCATGGTGTTTGTTTTTCAAAAGCGTTTTCAAAACACCATTTTGAAAGTTAGCATATGATACATTCCCAACCAATTAAACCTTACTCTCGCTCGTTGCCGCTCCCCACCATCAACCACATGTCGACCGCCGCCATCATAAAACAACGAGGAATAATTGTTCAACATGTTCTAATAACATTGATAATATATATACATTAGGCTCAAAATGTATTTTAGTGACATTACAATATAATATACATTAATTTCAAAACACATCCCGGTATTACGCACCACGATCGTTCCACATCCTTTGGGCCAAACGATCTCGAAAACCTTGACATCTCACGAAGGTGCTCTGGGCCGACATTGACCGGTATGGTTTGTTGTTCTTGTGCAGTCATGTCATCTTCTTCAAGCTCCACATCTTCATTTTCAAACTCGATAAATAATGGATCTCCAGAATCATGCATTCGAATCACGTTGTGAATAACGCAACATGCTAATGCTATATATTTTTGTTTTCTCAAACTATATGAAGGCATATCTCTTAAAACTGGAAATCTTTTTTTCAATACCCCAAAGCATCGTTCTATAACATTCCTTAATGACGAATGCAAGTAATTGAATAGTTCTCTAGTACCTTGCGGTGGAAGATTCTGCCCTCGATAATCATTCAAATGATATCGCTCACCACGATACGATGAAAGAAAACCCGGCATATTGGTATATCCAGAGTCAACCAAATAATACTTTCTTGTAGGGGGCATAGGGAATTTGTTTGCGGGATTGCTAATGCACTCTAAGAAAATTCTTGAATCATTTGCACTTCCTTCTCATCCACTCATAACAAATGTGAACCGCATATCAAAAGAACAAGCGCACATCATATTCATTGTCGGCACAATTTTTTTTCCACGATATGGAACTTGACTATCTTGCCGCACACAAGCTGAAACATGAGTTCCATCTATAGCCCCTACATAATTTTGTCATATATATATATATATTACTATAAGAACAATAGTAAAAAAAATTCACATAATTAATGTAGGAAGGAATATATACATACCTTGAAATAAGGATAATACTTTGTGGTATATGATATCTCTGGTGGAGTTGCATCGTATGATGGAGGGACGATCACATATTTGGTTAGAGAGCAAATTGCATAAAGGACCCTCTTAAAATATGTAGAGATGGTCTCTAGTGAGTGCTGAAAACGATCCGCGACCATACGTTGGCGCTCATTATGAGAAAGCACAAATAAAAAGATTGCTACTTGTTCTTGAATCGTCACGTTTCTAGAATGTTTTAATTTTCCGATTCTCTTTAACTCTTCACAAAGGTTAATAAATGCTTCTTTTTTCATTCGGAAGAGGTCAAAACAAGTACCCGGGTGACCACCTAGAACCTCAATCACCCAATCATGCCCACTTAATTTTGAAATCCTTTGTGATCGAGGCTGCTCCATAAAAGATCCATTAAACTTCATAAATGCATGAATGGTCAATAACACCACAAATTGCTCCTCATCTGAATCAGAGTCTGAATCAGATTGTGATGATAGTTGATAATCATCTGTATCTGTATTGCCATCCATACCTACCAAAAACATATAAAATTATAATTGAACACTATTGCAAACATAGTCTTGCATAAAATTTACATAAGGCATAAAACACATGTCAACTTATAATTGAACACTATTGCAAACATAGTCTTGCATAAAATTTACATAAGGCATAAAACACATGTCAACAACATAAACAAGTATAATACCAACAACGTTATGGAAATACAAATATATAGGTTCAAAAACTAACACAAATACACCCAAAAGTCTTCAATCTACTAGAACACAAACATAATTGAAACACACAAAAGACATCGACCTTCTAGAATCAAACATATAGAAACACACACAAAGTCCTTGGCCTAATAGGAACAAACACAAACATAAAGAAATACAAATTTCTTCGAAACAAACACAAACAACATCAAGGTAGATTTAACACCCAATCCTTCTTTCTCTCGCTAGGCATGGCTAAAAACATGGTTCTCCATGCTGCATCATCATGCAAAATATGTGCGGCCTTGGAAAAATGAGTTGACTCAACATCAGGAAGAGCACTAAGTGCAGTAATGCAGTGAACCAAGCCTTGGTCTTCCTCAGAGCTTCTTCCTCTCCCTCCACTAACATGACTATCTGCAGTAGTCGAACTCGCTTTCCTCTCCCTCCACTCCATTTTCTTCCTAGAGTTTTCTCCCATCGAGGTTAAAGCTTCAACCATTGCTAATTGGATTTGTTGCTTCAACGGTACACGTTTGTTTGCCACTTTTGCCTTTTTCTTAGCTCGAGATGACTCAACATCTTCCTCATCTTCATCTTCTTCTTCCTTATCATCTTCACTAATGGTAGGACTTTTAGTAGAGGGATGAGCATGATCACCAGTAGCAGTTGTATCACCAAAAATGATGCACAACTTGTCATAACCTTTGCAACCCTTCCTTCTAAAATATCTTGCGTACTTGTGCGTCTACGTAGAACAAAAAAATGAATTCAAACTCACATACGATATCTAATAAAAATTGCATTAATCAATGAGTATTACCGCATACAACTTAGTCCACACATCTTCTGTTGCAGATATTTGACCGGTGCTCGCAGTATACCCAACTGCCGTATCCGTCAATAGACTTTTCAAATTTCTCCATCTTTGTCTCAATTGGTTGAACTTATTTTTCATTTGGTCATGAGTGTATTCTCTCCCCGTCTTCTTTTTTAACTCATGCTCCATGAATTTCCAAGAGGATCTAGTAAATGTAGTTGTATGCCCATGTCCCTTTTTCACTTCTTCCTCCATCAAGTCTATGAAATAAAGCTCCACATTTTCAGACCAAATATCCTTGTGACGAGGAAACCTCCACCACTTCGTTGACATCAGGACTTTCACTTGACATCTATTACTGTTGAGTTATTAGATAGTAATTAGTCAATGCTGTGAGGACCTATTTGTAAGAGTGCCCTTATATAAAAGGGGTATCTCTCTATGAGTGAATGTAACCCTAATTCTGACCCCAAAAAATCTACATGGTATCAGAGCTGGGTGGCGGCTCCTCTTACCCTTTTTTCTTTCACGCAGTGGAGGCTGAAGAAGAGAAGAGGAGAAGGCATCGAACTGATCTCGAGAGGGTCCAGCTCCGGAGCTCGACCTTATTGTGAAGAGGAGAAGTAGCCGGCGACAGCTCGACCCGTCTCCGACGCCTGGCAGAGTCGGGATCTCTCTGTTGGTGGGGTCGGCATCCTGGACGCAGGGCTTGAGGGAGCTCACGGCGCGAGCGAAGGCCTCCATGATGGAGTCCGGAGGGAGAGCACAGTTCTCGAGGCCGGCGTCTTCCAGGTACGGCTTTTGAGGTCGGCGTCTTCCAGGTTCGGCCGTCGAGGTCTTTGGATCGGTGAGACAGGACGAAGAGAGGGCTGTGGATCGGAGACTCTTTTTTGATCAAGCGTTGGTGAAGGGGGAGAGAACTGGAACCCTAGGTGAAGCGAGTCGGTGATGTGATCGCGGCTAGGGGGGGGGGGGGGGCTCCGATGGCGGGAGCTGGAGGAATCACGGTTCGGAGCTTGGTTCTTTGATCTGCAGGGAGTGTTGCTGCTTAGATCCAAGAGAAGAAGAAGAAAAAAAGGAGAAGAAAAGGGGGAGCGCAGTTCTTTGAACGATGATGAATGGGTTTTTGCGATGTGTGCTTGGATGTTGGAGAGGAGGTGTGGAATTGAAGGTTCTAGTGATTTGATTGTTTTTTGTTGATTAACGTCTGTCACAAAAAAAAAAGGGAAAGAAAAAAAAGGGAAAGAAAAGAAAAGAAAAAGGAGGAAAAATTGATTTGTAATAGTTTATTTAGGTTCCCTCGACAAGTCAGTCCTAGAACTGATGAGAGAAGAGCTGATATCTCACTTTGTTGAGATATCTTGCTTCTGGTTCCTGTTTCCTTGGTGAAACATGAATTCTTGTTGATCTATCTATCTTGTTGTACTGTCGAAGTGCTGCCGGATTTTTCGTTGCGCACCACAAGAATACAAGTTGGATCGATGACAAACACTGGGAAAAATCCGATGGAGGAGATCATCAAAAAGTTGAACAACCTGAGGGTATTCCAGATCGAGAAGGAGATCAGTGGTATAGTCCAGGGAGAGAGGACTGTACAGGAGTACGCCACAGAGCTGGAACGCTTGTGGCTCGATCACGATTACTTCTCGCCCCTAGCGAGCTGCAAGGACCCTGAGTGTAAGGAGCGCGAGGCCTTTTTGCAGAAGAGGACCATGTCGTTTCTCCGAGGTTTGGCTCCAGCGTATGAGCAGAGGACGGCATTGCTTATTACAATTCAGGAATTTATCGGTTGGACGTGAGATGTTCTGGAGGTTGACCGAAAATCACGAACACATTCATTATGGTTTCATCGGGAAGGAAGCCACCCCAGGTTCTAGTGAAAGATCTCATGTGCGGGGGCTTCATCCGGGTATCTTAGGACAAGATAATATACCTCAGAATGAGAAGATAGTGCACCACTGGAGAAGGCAGTCTCGGCCATGATACAGGAGGAGAGTCGTATCAGGCTACGGTCTGGGATAGGTAGACTTAGACGGGAGAAGTCTGCACTGGTGGTATCCAACCCGGATAACATTGGATTCAGAAGGAAGACTAGCCAGTGTTTCAACTGCGGAGAGGTAGGGCATCTGAGACAGATGTGCCCTAAGCCACCCAAGGAAAGGAACTGGGGTGAACGTGGTCAGACTGGTGGTCGTGCAGGTCAAGGAGGCAGGGGGCGTGTAAGCCAAGGAGTTGCTCACCTAGCTGTGGCAGATGAATCTCAGACCACTACTGGGATGACTGGAGCTGAAATAACAGAGCTAGAGGAACTACGTCTGTTCAAGCTTCAGGCTGAGAGGTCGAAGGGCAAGGGACAAGTCACCCAGGATCTAGCTACCACTACATGTTTTGGTAACTTTATTGGTTATGCTCATGCGACCAAAGGTACACAGGTTCAGGCACTTACATCCACTAAAACTCATGTTGATTGGATCATAGACTCAGGTGCGTCTAGGCATGTCACAGGAACATCTAGTGAGTTTGCATTATATTATCCGAGTAAACATATGCATCCTGAGACAGTTCAGACTGCTGATGGGACATCCCAACCCATCAGGGGTACTGGCTCGGTCCATTGCACTTCATCTGTTACCTTGTCATCTGTATTGCATGTTCCTTCGTTTCCAGTTAACTTACTCTCAGTTAGCTCTCTCATTGACCAATTAAATTGCACCGTGTTATTTGATCGAGATTTGTGTGTCTTTCAAGAGAAGGAAACAGGGAGGAGGATTGGGACTGGCATCAGACGTGATGGTCTTTGGTACTTGGACAGGGAGACTGCAATGATTGCCATTGATTGTTATTCACGTATGGTCTGGATATACATGATGAAGCAGAAATCTGAGGTTTACAAATGTTTTCAAGATTTCTTGGCTTATGTGAAGACACAGTTTGGAGTGCAGGTGAAGATTCTTCGAACAGATAATGGGACTGAGTATGTCAATAAGGAGTTTGCAGCTTTCATCTCTAATCAGGGAATTGTTCATCAAACCACCTGCCCAGACACCCCTGCTCAGAATGGGGTGGCTGAACGTAAGAACAGACATTTACTGGAAGTGGCACGCTCATTGATGTTGACAATGAATGTGCCTAAGTTTTTATGGAGTGAGGCTGTTATGACAGCAGCTTATTTGATCAACAGGATGCCATCAAGAGTATTAGGGATGAAGACACCATGTGAGATGCTTTTGGGCTCGAATGTTTTTGTTGTTCCACCAAGAGTGTTTGGATGCACATGTTATGTGAGAGATCACAGGTTGATGGTGAGTAAACTGGATCCGCAAGCAGTTAAATGTATCTTTGTTGGCTACTCATCAAGTAAAAAAGGATACAAGTGTTGGTGTCCCACTGAAAGAAGACTGTTTGTCAGTATGGATGTGACTTTTCGGGAATTTGAACCCTTTTATGGGGAGAAGACGGAGTTGAGTTCCTTGTTTGGAGATGGCTCTACTGATGCTAGTAGAGAGGGGGGGAATAATGAGAATGAGAATGATATTGTGGTCGGGATGATTCCATGTCCTCTTGAGTCACCGAGTAGTGATGGTACATCGCCGAGTAGTGGTGGTGACTTAGGAGTTGGTAGTCAAAGTCAGGGGGAGCTGAGAGTATACACGAGGAGACAGAAACAGCAGCATGAGCCGCCTCTCGTGCCTGTGTCAGTACCCACAAATTCCAGTGCCTTACTCTTCTCCTCCACCTGAGTCGATAGGTAACGATTCCTTCCCTGATACCTCTGATACTCCTGTCTTGCCCCGCAGAACCTCTAGAGTCAATGCTGGAAAGCCTCCAGCTAAGTTTGGTAATTGGGATACTGATATTGCGAATTACATTTCATATGCATCCATTCCACCTGCATATAAGTCATTCATTGCATCGTTGCATTCAGTGCCTGTACCTAACAACTGGCAGGTAGCTAAGCAAGATCCTAGGTGGTTGAATGCCATGCACGAGGAACTCCAGGCCTTGAAGAAGAATAACACATGGGAGTTGGTACCTTTGCCAGCTGGGAAGCGTGCTGTTGGATGTAAGTGAGTGTATACGGTTAAGCAAACTCCAGAGGGCAAGATCGACAGATACAAAGCCAGATTGGTTGCTAAAGGCTACAGCCAAACATACAGCATTGACTATGACGAGACATTTGCTCCAGTAGCAAAGATGAGTACTGTTAGAGTGTTGGTGTCATGTGCTGCCAACTTTAATTGGCCACTACATCAGCTAGATGTCAAGAATACCTTTTTACATGGAGATCTTCAAGAGGAGGTATATATGGAGATTCCACCAGGCTTCACTACTTCTCAAGTAGCTGGGAAGGTGTGCAAGTTGAAGAAGTCTTTGTATGGGTTAAAACAGTCTCCGAGGGCATGGTTTGATAGATTCAGGTTGGCAGTTTGTGGTATGGGGTACAAGCAGTGCAATGGTGATCATACTGTGTTTTACAGGCACTCCAAAACTCGTATCACTATCCTGGCGGTCTATGTTGATGATATTGTAATCACTGGAGATGACGCTGAGGAAATCCTACTGTTGAAGAAGAAATTGGGAGAGGAATTTGAAGTTAAAGATCTGGGGCAGTTGAAGTACTTTCTCGGAATTGAAATTGCAAGGTCGCGAAAGGGTATAGTGCTTTCTCAGCGGAAGTATGCTCTGGATCTTCTCTCAGAGACAGGGATGTTGGGGGTGCAGAGTTGCATCTACTCCTATTGAGCAGAATCATAAGATGAGTGCCGAGGGTGGGGACCCTGTGAGTAAAGAGCAATATCAAAGATTGGTTGGACGACTTATATATCTATGCCATACGAGACCTGATATTACTCATGCAGTGAGTGTGGTGAGTAGATATATGCATGATCCCAGAGAGCAGCATATGGAGGCAGTTCGCAGAATTCTTAGATATATTAAAGGAAGCCCAGGAAAGGGGTTATGGTTCAGGAGTTTTGGACATCTGAGAATTGAAGGCTATTGTGATGCTGATTGGGCGGGTTGTATGGATGATCGTAGGTCCACTACAGGCTACTGTGTATTTGTTGGAGGCAATCTCGTATCTTGGCGTAGCAAGAAGCAAGATGTGGTGGCTAGGTCTACAGCTGAGGCCGAGTACAGAGCTATGGCAGTTAGTCTGTGCGAGTTGATGTGGGTAAAAAACATATTATCTGAGCTGCGCTTGTTTAGAAGAGACTCCTTACAACTTTGGTGTGACAACAAATCGGCGATTAATATTGCAAACAATCCTGTTCAGCATGATCGGACCAAACATGTGGAGATTGATCGGTTCTTTATCAAGGAGCAACTAAATAGAGGAATTTTGACTTTGAGCTATGTGAAATCAGAAGAGCAGTTAGCTGATTGTTTAACAAAAGGAACCAAACATGTGGAGATCGATCGGTTCTTTATCAAGGAGCAACTGAATAGAGGAGTTCTGACCTTGAGCTATGTGAAATCAGAAGAGCAGTTAGCTGATTGTTTAACAAAAGGATTAGGTTCTAGAGAGTGTGATATCTTTTGTAACAAGATGGGGATGAATGATATCTATCGCCCATCTTGAGGGGGAGTGTTGAGTTATTAGATAGTAATTAGTCAATGCTGTGAGGACCTATTTGTAAGAGTGCCCTTATATAAAAGGGGTATCTCTCTATGAGTGAATGTAACCCTAATTCTGACCCCAAAAAATCTACAATTACATTCACAACAACATGAAATAAGAGAGTATAATTAGATGATGTTTTGGATCAAATAAAGCACAAGCCATACAAATAGAGCATAGGCAATTTTTTTTATTTGATGGAATGCATGTATATATGCTCTGAACCCTCTAACGACATTCACATGCTTACTTTTCTTTATTTAGGTGAATTTGATGATGTTTTGGATGATAGACATTCTCTTTACATCTCTAAGCCTTACTTTTCTTTATTTAGGTGAATTTGATGATGTTTTGGATGATAGACATTCTCTTTACATCTCTAAGCCTGATGTTTCCTCCAAGATTAACATATTGTAATGTTTTGGATGATAGACATTCTCTTTACATCTCTAAGCCTGATGTTTCCTCCAAGATTAACATATTGTATAAGGATGTAATGTATGCTTCTATGGGTTCAAAGGGATCTATACCACAGGGTGGGTCTGGAAAATTGCTAGAGGTTGAGAAATTGACATTACAAACTCCAAGGAGCAGCAACATCCTTATTACAGACTTTTCGTTGGAGATATATAATGGTGATCACCTTCTGGTATGCGATTCTCCTACATTTACATAATTGCATCGTGCTTATTTCTGGATTCAGAAAGCAGCACTTCAGTAGGATTTTTTTTGGTAACCAGGTGATGGGCCCTAGTGGGAGTGGCAAAACATCACTCTTAAGAGCTCTAGCTGGTCTGTGGAATACCGGTGAAGGTAATATTACTTTCTACATAACAAATGAAGCAAAAAAAGTCAACTGTCCACCTCTTCAAATATTGATTCTTCTGGAGCACAGTCTGCATAGAATATTTTGGTGGTAGACAAGCTTTCATACATATAGAAACAAGAGAGCCAAGGATGTCTTTCTCCTTCCTTAAAGACCTTACATGGTTTTAGGAACACTACGAGTAATGAACCACTCCAACAAATATAAAAGCTTTATCTCAACATTTTTGCTCTATATTATTATAAGTTACCAAACAACAAACTAATTCTGTTATGTAAATAAAGGATCATTCCTATATGTTTGCACTTTGCAGCTTCAATTTTCTTTGATTTATCAGCAGAGGAGAAAGAAAAATTTGCATCAGACGACAGATCAAAGCTGCTTAGATATAGAGCAAACCCAAAGGATGGCATCAGTAGGGCTATAGATATTCTGAAGCTCTATGCTCGTCCTCTAAAGTGAATGGATTCATTTATGGCCATCAGTAACAAAGAAAAATTGGGCAAGACAGAGGCTTGTTGCAGATTCAAAAAATCATGTTGGTTTCATACAAGAAGTTTACGAAATTTCAATCTCAAGAAAAATTGGAGATCAATATACCTTGTTCGAAATTTGAGGAGGAGTCGGAGGTGGCGGAAGTGACCGGAGCAGCGACGAGGAGGCGGCAGCGGCGACTACACGGAGGTCCTGGTGACGCGGAGACGGCTGCGACGACCGGTCGGTGGTTGGGCGACACGTTGGAGGCTGCGCGACGGGTCAGGGGCGGCGATTTTGGA